TGATGAGGTAAACCAAACCCTTATTAAAGACTGCAGTACCTTCTGTTCTATGTTACGTGAGTCGATTTAACTTAATCGATGATGGAAGGGAAGAAGTGATATTATTTCAGAGCAGGAATATGAGAGATTGCCCAGCCTTAAAAGAGACCTCTATAAGGTTCGTGAGTCGTATCACAGGTATGGTTGCTACAAAAACTGCTGCAGATCGGAATTAATACAAAAAAAAGTTATACTAAAGCACAGGCGGATTTACGGGGGGGGGAGGGCTTTCGGGCTGAAGCCCCCCCAAAACGGTAAAATATAACCATGTTTTATGGAAAAAAATATTAAAAACTATCTCTAAAAGTATTATAGTTCGTGTAATTACATTTAACAGGACTTCAAAAATCACTTAAACACCATTTCATATAGGTAGTTCATTTCTTTTGTTTTCTAATTAATTATCATTATATATATGAAAAAAAAATCTTTCGGGCTGAAGCCTCCCCCAAAATTAAATTCTGGATCCGCTAGTGTACTAAAGCGAAATGCGCTGTCAAGACCTGGAAGTTTTGGAATGATTTCATCGTTAAAGATTCATTCCGTTCAATATGCCGCACAGAGCTGCCATGAACATTTCGACTCCACTGCAGACGATTGCATCTTAAAATGCAGGGGTACCCATCCCCCCCAAGTTCGATGGCGCATTAACCTTCTCCCACTCCTCCCAAAATATTTTATGGATATCCTCTTCTTAAAAACAGTGTAAACAAAAGTATAATTTAAAAATTCGTAGATTATATAAAATAATACATTCTGCAGTCTTTTCAACGTTTTCATTTGTCTTTTGAATTGAAATTTTTCACATAAAAAATTTATAACCCGGTCGAAATGTGACTCTTCCAAAATTCAAAACACTGTCAAAATGTGCCCTCCCTCCCCAAAAAAGTTTTGATGGCGCAACTTGCGCTATGAAATCTCCTTCTGGGCTCCCCTGTTTAAAAGAGTCCCAAACAAATACTCGCGAAGATGGTGCAAGAAGATTCGCTGAGATAACAATACCCAGAGATTAAACGCTCAATAGACTCGCTGCGGCAGTTCCCTTCCTGACTGTTTCACATCTTCCTTTAATGACGCATGCAGCATTTAATACGTTGAATTGGTGCTTCCTGAGTGTCTACTTTACTTCGTATACTTCATTTATGAACCAGCCCCATAAACAATATAAGAATCCAGTACTGTGAGGTCTGCACATCATGGAGGTCAACAAATCTGACCTGCTTCATTTTCAGTGTATTTCAGTTTGGAAGGCCTTTGGGTATGATCCCATAGCAAGAATCCTTCTCTAATAAAGTCATAATATTTCTGTTCCTGAATTTTCTACCTTTTGGTAAATTCCAGAATACCTTTTTTCCATATCTTCTTTTCTGATATGATAACTTTCAAGTTTATTTCAAAGTCTAGTATTTTTGGATAAACAATCGTTTAATGAGCTTATCCAACCTTTCCCTTCAGTTCATTAAGGATTTTTAATTCCCTTGATAGTCTATTTATAGTTCCAGACAAATTCTAATCTAAGTGCACATGCTAAAGCTTCTGTATGAATCCAAATGTTTAATGTAGTTATTTTCAAGTTACTTCCATGGGCATGCACTAATAGCTGGGGTTATTCCTAAGGAAGCCATCCACTGAACTTTTTCCAGCCACAGTTTGATATACTTATATATTTTCCTACCAGTGTAAAAGATTCAAGATTAAGCTTTTTTTTCTGGAGGATACAATAATGATTTTGCTCAGACTAAGATCTAATACTTGTTCAACGCATTAAGCTTTCACTGCTTAGTTTCTTTAGAAGGCTATTAACTACAATGCCCCACAGAAGAAGTGAAGGAACATCCCTCTGTGGAGAATCTTTTGTTGCTGTTTTTTTTCTGCTATTGAGGCAGTTATGCTTCTATTTATTGTTTCTGTTAGTCATTGTGTTCAATACAAAAATAAAACTTTGTCAAATTGTTACATGTTCGAATATTTTGTGACTAACAACATTGTTCAAACTTGCCAGAAAAACCTGAAACTCCTTCCGACTCACTAATGAAATGGTAGTATGCCTCTCATATAATCTAATCATTGATTTTCAATTGTTTCACTGAATTGAGGAATCTCAATCAAGTTCTTATGAACTCTCTCTCAGTGTTCGTATGCACTACCAAGGCACAGCATTTCCAAAATATTCTTTTCCTAGATCTTAATTCAAAGAGGAAAATCTTTAGAAATCCTCTGTTACAAGCTCCACCTCCTATAATCCAGTCTCACCTAATGACTACATTCTTTTCTTTCTGATCCCTTTCTGAATAATTCTCAGGTCTTTCAACTCTCTTGTCTCTTTCTACTCCACAAACTCCATTTGATCCTAACCATTATTGTTTGCTTCACATTATTTCACATACCTTAATTGCTTCTGTACTCAAATTCAGAACAATTACTTTAGCGAAAACCAAATTTGGATAAAAATATTACTCTCAGTTTTCCTGTCATTCTACAAATTAGTGACTCATCTCTTATAAATCTTCAATTTTTCCCTGATGCAGCAAAAAGATCCTTAATAAGGTCCCTTCATCTTTCACTGCTACTAATTTTGGACCAACAAACATTCTCTTAAATTTAACATAGCCCCTAAACTTACTTTCTTTCTTGAGAAAAATTATCACCTTTTCATTCAGATTTTCGTTTAGGTTATTCCACGTAATCTGCTTAGTTAAAAATTACTCAAGAACTTTACTCCTCTGTAGACCAAAAGTTAATCTATATCATCCTCTATTAAGACTTTTCAAAAGCCGTTGAACTACGTAGATCATAGCACTCTCCTCTCTAAACTGCACTACATCTTCATAACTATCAAGAAATTAAAGTACACTGAAATAATCATTATTCCCAATTAACCTCACTTATTATCATTACTTTTTTCTCAAGGTGTTCTGCAGGGATCTTCCCTCTTATCAACATTATTTTCTATATTTATAAACCAAATTTTATCTACCACTATCAATATAATTTTTATGGAGAAGCCTGCAAATATATAAATCCTTTCACTGTTTCAATATAATCAAGGTATATTTTAAGATCCAGTATGATATTGATAGTATTAAACATTGGGCTTCGCAAAATAAGTTGTGACAGAATTCAATGAAAACAAAGGTAATTCTTATTGGTTCCAAATCCTCCCTTAGCTTTCCTTCCTTCATTTCATACCTCAATAGTATATCTATTAAGCTTCAAAACTCTTTAAAAAATATGGGAGTTATTTTATATCAAACTAACTAGGACTAATCATGCTTCCAAAATTCCACCTTTAAACCCGAAATGCTATCTTGATCCCCTAAGAAAGATTCGATCTACCCTAATCTTTTAAAATTTTTACACTACCTGAATAGTTTTAATAAGTGATTTCTGATTTCTTAAATTTTTTTTTCTTTTATAAATACAGTACTGTTTGAACAAAAAAATTATTAAACATAATTGACTGATTATTTCTAATTGCCTTTGGATTATATGTTTCTTTTGTATTCAATTCAAATATACATTTCTTTGACAAAGGGTCTAATGTTTTTTTTTGTAAAATTATAAAATGGTGAAGAAAAGTATTGATATTAGTGCAATTTATTGTAATTATAATAACAAAATCCATAGTGTCAATTTAGAACATTAATGAAGAGGAAGCACAATCTATTTTCTATTTTTTGACTGAATGTTTTCGACTGAAAATTTTAGAGGTTTAATTACACCTCAAAACTACTCAATAGAAAATATCAACTTTCAATTGAAAACAAACTATTAATGTACAAGACAATCCTGAAATCTATATCTGGACCTACGGACTGGAACTGTGGGAGACAGCAAAACTTTCTAACATCAAATGCATTCAATCCTTCCAGTCGAAAGTTCTTCAAACAATAGTCGATGCACCTTTTTATGTAGCCAATAAATATAACATGACCTGAATATCCCATTTGTACTTGACCTAATCTCAGATAAATTTTCCAACATAATTTGCTTGCTCCAGCCATCCCTACAATTCTCCTCAGAGGCTAAAATGGAAGTGGCCCCGCGACCTTTTGTAAATATGTATATATTGGAGCACTGGCACTGGCCAGATTCTTCACTTAAGTCCTGATCGTCTGTTGCTCTAGTTCCCTCCATCAGTTTCCACTGGCTTTCAATACCAGTGACACGGCTGGGATCACCTGGAGTCCTGCTTTGGCTTCCATATTTAATAATATGTGGCTCTAGGCCTCTAGGCCAATGTAAATAATGCACATAGGTGTAAATGAGTTTTATTTATTATATTATCATTCAGCTTTAATCTGTTACTTTATTTATCTTGTATATTCCTTTATCTTTTTATTTATCAATATATATTTTTTTACTTTAGTTATTTATATATATTTTCCTTTCTTATGTACATATAGTGTGAATGAATACTATATTCCTAGTACCAATGCCCTTCAGTGTTGCAGACTGTATCAATACTCAATAAAATCATTATAAAGATTAAAAATTAAACCTTAAAAGTAATTCTTGTTTATAGTATCTAAATTATTGAATTTGATAGTAGTTAGGAAAGGGGCCAAAGGACCAAAATTAAAAAGGCAGATAAATAGAAGGAATATGTCAAGAAGCCGCATCCGCAATCCATTATTTCTATATAAATTATTCTAAAATTATTAAGGTGACTTTAATTTGTCCAATATTTTATCCTAACTGACAGCAAACAATTAATTTGTTTTTTAATTAAAATATTTTTTATCTGACTTTTTACAATGGTTTAAAAATGTTTTCAGCTACTTTTAATAATGTATAATGTCTGATTGGAATTCTAATGGATCTAATGGACACCATTTTGGAGTGAAGCTTGTCAAGTTTTACATTTTCAAATACTTCTAAAAATATTTGTGATATAATTAATTACAAAATTAGGTGATACACAATAGTTAATTAACGAGTTTAAATAATTATAACATTACCTGGGTCTGGGTTGTAAAAAGGAGAAGGAATTATCATTTTATTCTAGGAGGTCAAACCTCTGGAAAATAAAAAAATAAAATTGTAAAAATAAAATAAAAATTTAATAAATCATATAAAATAATATTTTACTATGAATATGAAATTATTTTCAAAAATAATTACAGAGAATATACACTTAAATTATCAAGAAAGAATAATCAACTCACCTTAGACATTTCACAAATAAAACAAGTAAATAAAATAAAAGAGTAACTAATGAAAAAAAGACAAAAAATATTAAATCAAAACGGTCACAACACCAATCTAATTGTTAAGGATGAAAACTTTACTGCTTCTAGGCATAAAACAAAATACTAACTATTCTAAGGAATTTTGACAATTCAAGGACAATCTTGTGTGTGTACCAAACAAATCGATAATAAAGCCATAGTTGAGGTTCCTCAACTTGTAAACAACCTGAATGAAAGGTTAAGTTCAGTTTTTAACGAATTCATTATATCCTTTAAGTTTTAAATACAATTTTACTAGCTTAAACTGCTAAAAAAATTTTAATATCGGTTACCTGGTTTGAAGAAGGCATTATGGAAATTCAAGATAAAACAATTCAGATTATAATCCAACTAGGTTATCTTATATGAAGCTCCCGCTTAAAATCCGCCCAAGGACGATATTGCTACTTATTATTAAACCTTTTATTAAAATATATTTTTGTATAAAATCATACAAACATTTTTGAAATATCCGTTTTAAATTTCTAGTATTTATTACATAAAAACCTCAAATAAGAAAAAATCATCTGAATAAAATTGACTAAAGATTGTTTTTTTAATCAGATTAATACCACACTAAAAAAAATGTACAGCTGCAATTGTTATATAAATGTTAAGAAAATTAATAGACTCAAATTATAAATGATAAACTAATATTATTCCTGACTCAAAATAGCTAATATGAAGAATCGGATCAAAATTCAGAACTATGGCAGCGCATTCTGTGTTTTTCACTGCGAGTCTTCAAAATAGTCCTTTAAAATATTTTTTCAATTATTAAAGAATTTTGAAGTCAATTACGTTTAAAAGAAGAATGTTTATACATAATAAGGTAAATATCTCAAATAATTATGAATTAAATCTTTTAAAAGTTACCTGTCATTCACTATTTAAAATATTTAAAGGGTATCTTATATGGTTGTTGAGCTTCAATTCTCTGCTGAAACATGGAAACAATTTAAATTCCAAATTTTGAAAGCATGAATTAGATTTAAAAATAATCAATAGTTTGCAAATCATTTTTTAAATAAAAACATCAATATTATTATTATTATCTTATCAACTAAATATAATTATCTTATCAACAAAATATAAAAATATCTTATCAACTAATATTTTTTATTTTCAGTTTAATTCTTTTATAATTTTTTTTTTTAGTTTTTAATTTAAGTTGGATATTGATAAACTTTAAACTTATTGTTGAATCAGGTTACAAACCCTAAGAGTCGGAGTATTTCTATATTGTTATTATTTATTTTAAATTAAGTATTGTGAGGAGCTTTTAGTGTTGACCACCTTCGAGATTTGTTGGCAATAATGTCAAGTTCCTCTAAATATAATTCAATTTATTTCTTAAACTGTTTTTTTATGAAGTAATATTTCAATTTTATTTCATCCAATATGTCTCTAATTCTGTCACTTTGTTAATAAGCTAAAATTTTTTTATTCTCATTAGTATTGTAATATTTGTAAATTTTTTTTATTTATAACAAGTTGCGGGACTCCAGGTCAGCACCCCGGTGCAGAGCCAGGACTGTTGGGTACTAAATTTATCTGATAAATTCTTTGTACCACAATCAGAAATTCAGTTTATTTGAACTTTTTATTTCAGATGATGAACATATTTTCAACTACTCAATCTTCCTTATAGCAGAGTAAAGAATTAAATTGATTAATATTGTGCAGGACATCAAAAGCTCTTTATATTATTTAATATAAAATAAATAAGACAGTGGCTACCATTATTCAACCGGAATCACTAGCGGATCCAGGATTTAATTTTGGGGGGGGGGCTTCAGCCCGAAAGTTTTTTTTTTCATAAAAATAACGATAATTACTTTGGAAAAAAAGAAAGAAGCTAACTACCTATATGAAATGGTGTTTAAGCGATTCCTAAAGCCCTTTTAAATGTAATTACACGAACAATAATACTTTAAGAGATACTTTTTAAATATTTTTTTCGAAAAAACATGGTTATATTTTAGCATTTTGGGGGGACTTCAGCCCGAAAGTCCCCCTCCCCCCCCCCCCCCGTAGATCCGCCCGTGACCGGAATTAACTATTTTTATATCACAACAGCCACCAAAATTGCCAACATGGTTCACTCTTTGTGTTTTTAAACTTACAATAAAAATATTCTTCTTCTTCTTTGGCGCTATGGCCCATGAAGGACTTTGGCCTCCTCAACAATTTTCCTCCACTCAGACCAGTCCTCTGCAGCTTATTTTTCTAACTTTTTCTTTCTCCATTTTAACATCCTCCCTTTATTTCCTTTGGAAATCTTTTATGTTCCATCGGAAATATACATGGTCCAGCTATCATATTTTTCTCTTTTTAATATAAGAAACTATATCAGGTTATCTATATAGGTCCTTAAGTTAAGCATTGGTTTTATGCGGTAATGACTTTCTTCGTTGGTAAGGCCATGTATTCTTCTTTGAATTTTTCTCTCCCCTGTACTCAGTTATCTCTCTTGCTGCTTAGTTACGATCCATGCCTCACTACCATGCATGAAAACTGGACAAGGTACCATTTTATATATCCTTATTTTTAGGTTTCAAAATAAAGAGATACTATTTTGAAATACCTTTCTGAAGGAGCAATAATATTTGTTTACATTTACAATTCTTGCTTTTATTTATTCCTCCATTTTTTTATTGTTGGTTACAATTGCACCAAGATACTTAAATTTTTCTACACTTTCAAAACAAAATTATTCTCGCAATAGACATCCACATACTGAGTCTTTTCTGTAATATATATATTTTGTGTTCCTTTCATTCACTATGAGCTCAGTCTTCCTAGCTGCCTTTTACATTCCATAAATGTCTCTAAAAACTAATCGGGATTTTTCTTGTGATGACCACACCATCGACATATGCTAGGCATTGAGTCACATTATTATGTATACATCCTTTGGTCTCATTTTAACTGCCCTCAGAATCCTCACAATCATCATTTAAGATTTTATTCGTTTTTTAATGCATTTTATCACAAAAAATTTCATTTTATTCACTTCAATATATGATAAGAACAAATTATTTAATTTTAGAACAACACTAACTACCATCTTCAAATTAACTATTTACTAATAAGCTTATTAAATAATTTACTAATTATTGTCATATTTCATTATTAATTAACCAGTTATTTTGATACTTTGGTTCTGAGCATGCATCAATAAATTACCAAAAACTCGAAAAATTCAAGGGGCTGTAAAACATATATATGTAACAAAAGGTACTCTTCAATATTCATATGACAATTATCACCTACTTGGTATTCAACATTATTTTCAAGATGGACCATCAGAAAAATTTAGATATTATTTCCTAAATAAATTATTTATTAATAATCTTTTCAAGCAAACATTTAAACAAATCTAAACAAAATAAATCTAAACTATTTCAAATTTAATTTGCATTCATTTCTAAATTAGAAATTCAAATATATAATTTCAAAAATTATATATGAAGGAGTAAAACTGCTTTATGGCATTCCAGGCTGTGCTCTAACAAATAGAAGAAATTTAGTGAAGAGACAGAGAACCCAGTAGTGGATCGGCATGAAAATTTGTGAGGCTAAAAAAATATTTTGTAAATGCAACGTGTATAATAACAGGAATACTACCAGTGGTAACCCCACTTCAGCAATTAGATGATATATTCATTTATTGTATTTTTATGATCAATATCATAAAAAAATTCAATCTAGTTACAGACTGTTCAAATAACCAAGCAGAAAAAGAAGCAGTTCTAAAAGCACTTCAATACATGTAAACTGAACCTACCTGCTGATGTAGAGTGATTATACCATAATAAGGGACTGCAAAATTCAAATAAATTAAATAATTAGAAAATAAATGTCACATTAATATTTAAAGTTAGGAACAATTTGGAAGATAACTAATACTGGTATAAAAATAAATTTGAATTGGGATAAAAGTTGCATTTCCAAAAATGAAATCAGATGATAGGCTTACATACTACAATGGCTGATGAAGTTCAAAAAGATTTTGAAGAAATTTTCTTATAATCTCATTAAAAACTAATCATCTAATTAAATAATATGGAAAAGGAAATCAGAAATTACCATAATTTATTGGTAACTTCACCATTTCGTTCGGTACATCACTTCGAAACAACTGTAACTTAGTAAAACCAAACAAAAAACTAATAAGATAAGCCAATAGAGAGTCTATCCTTCCCTTGGCCAATTTTGTAAAAAAAATATGAGCACAAAAATATTTAAATTTTAGTTAAAATTGTGACATAATTTTTCCCAATAATCACTTGTTTATTTGGTTTCCTTGCGTATTAATTTTAATTTTTTAATTTTAATTTTAAGACTGTTTGCACATTTTATATACAATAGAATGTTATTAAAGTTTTATAATGAATATGAATAACATAATATAATTTTAAAAAAACAAATACGAAAAATAAATAAGTGATTCCAGAGATAAAAAATATATTTATTTGACCGTATCCCCCCGACCAACTCCTTCTCATATTGTATCACGGTCAACCATCTCTACATCATTATGAATCCATTACCACAGGATCAACAACAAGATACGAACCCATAATCCATACGCCGCACTTCCAGACTCAATGTCAGATCAAAAAATCCACAACTGACTTCCTCACATCAGAACCTTTCTGCTCTTCCCACTCGTCGCAGATTTCAAAAACCTTCCGGAACTTTTCATCACTCAGCACCGATATCTAATCACTTCTCTTCATCTTCGTTCAACAATTCTTCACATGATGACACATTGACCTCTTCAGTTTTAAATTCCTCTTCTCTACCCTGATGAAGACCTGCAAGGTGGGTCGAAACGTCAGTGTAATAATTAAAAATACTATTTTTTAAAAATTTAGTATTTATTTGGCCGCACCCCAATTCCTTCTCATATTATATCACAGTCAACCATCTCTACATCATCAAA